GAATCATATATTGTACAGACACAGCTTTATCGCTTGACAGAGTTGTTCCTAAGAAAAGCAAATCTGCCGGTCATTCGCCGAACTGCAGAAACAGAGCTGGCTGTTGCTGACGCAATTAATATTGAAAAGGAGGTTGCTGACCGATCGAACAGCAAAGTGGTATATTTGAATCTCTGTTCCCGGGAAATATCACATCGTTCAGATGACAAGTTTGTAAGGGCCAGAGAGTCAAACACTTTATCCCTGTCTGAAGCTCCTATTGATAGACAAGAACAAGGTAGCAGTGAGTGTTCAACAGACCCTGTGGTAGAAGAAGCATTGCGAGCTGCTGGCCTTTTGTCTGATTCTCCACCAAATAGTCCACGTTGTAAAAGAGAGGTCCCCAATGAAGTTGATGATTCCTCAATAAAAGTTGAGGAGGAAGAGCCTGATAATATATTCGAAATGGATTCACATATGGAGATGGACATATATGGTGATTTTGAGTATGACCTAGAAGATGAAGATTATATTGGTATGAATGCTGAGAAAGTTCAAAAGCCACAACCAGAAGAAAGTGTGTCAAAAATGAAAGTAGTTTTCTCCACCATTGCCACTGAGAGGTCAAATGATGTAGTAGGTCTAGAAGATCATGGGAGATTAGGGAAGGTTGAACTACCCACTGATTCATTATACATGCAGAAGAACAACACTGATGCAGCAATTAGACCCTTGACTGTGGAAGATGGGACTAATAAGACCTGTGTTCCTCTAGAAACATTACCTGATGAAGAAAATGAAGAACTTTCTCTCGCAGAATGTGAAGAGTTATATGGCCCGGACAAAGAGCCACTTATCAATAAAATTCCTGAAGAATCACAAAAGCCATGTGGGATGGTGGACACCAAAGCTTCAGCTGTCAACGAGGTTACTGCAAATGGTGAAAATGCTGCACTAAACCAAGGAGTAAATGCATCTAAATCTGACGCAGATATCAAGGCAGGAAATCTACTTGCTAATGTTGGACAGAGCTCATCCAGTTGTGAACATACAGCTGACATTAATCAAACAGGTGAAAATATCCAAAAGAAAGGGACCTCCAGTACAGAGATCAACAAGCAATGTGATGTTAATCCTGTATCTAAGAAGGTATTTGATGATGCTTTTGAATTGTTTAGTGACTTTAGTATTGGTACTGCAAATACTTATATTACACAGACCACGGGAAGATTGAAATTCTCACTTCATCATTTCACTGTGGCTTCCTTTCTCACAATTTCTTTTATTTTGATTCTGTTATAGGTGGAGACCTACATCAAAGAGCATATCAGACCACTCTGTAAGAGTGGTGTAATCACAGTTGAACAGTATCGGTGGGCTGTAGCAAAGACGACCGATAAGGTCATGAAATACCATGTAAATGCCAAGAATGCAAATTTCCTAGTCAAGGAAGGTGACAAGGTAAAGAAACTTGCTGAACAATATGTTGAAGCAGCACAACAAGGACAAAAATGATCCTGTGTGATAAGTTTGATAACACGTATTTCCACTTCATATCTTATTCCTTAGAGCTCCTTCTGTTTTCTGAACCCATCCCAACCTACAATCCAATTGTTTGTCCTATAGTTGAGGGACATAACCCCATGAGGCATACATTGTATAAATAGAAATGCAATTTTAGACAAAACAGGACCCTTCCTGGTCGGAAGGAGAAGAGTAGTTGTAAATTTGTACTTCGAATTTCAATGCGGTGTGCGGGGCAGGCAAGACCTTCTTCTTGCATTAACTCTGTTCCTTGACTGTGACACGCACCAATTTGTGCTAGTCTGTATGGCTGAGCCTAACCTAACCAGTTTTTGTTGGGTGAGTGGTTGGCCGGAGGGTCCGCTGGGCAGGTTAGGGGTTTTTTCTTGGTTAAATTCCTACTTTGGTCCATCAACTATTTTATGGACCCTTGAGTTGATTTCTAAACTAAAAAATTTCTTGCTTTAGTTTTAATAATAGTTGACATGTCTATTACTTAATGGTAAAAAGTCATTACTTAATGGCCATATATCATGTTAGTAACAAAACATGTTAACTATTTTTATAAAGAAGGAGTAACTTGGAGTTAGAAACTTTAGGGACCAAATCAGAGGTTTTTTTAGTTTAGGGATCAACTCAGAGATCTGTACAATAGTTAAGGAGTCAAATCGGGGTTTAACCTTTT